CTGCAACAATGAAGCATTAATGCTCCAATCAAGATTCAAACATTCCATGAGGCTCAACTTGAAAGAATAAAGAAAGTCTCCTGCCCTAGCTGGTTTGGCTCAGTGGAAGGGTCCCGGGTTCAATTGCGGTCAAGGGCAGGTACCTTGGTTGCAGGATCCTCCCAGGTCCGGGCCCTGGTCAGGGCTCGTGCAGGAGGCAACCAATCGATGTGTTCCTCTCACATCGATATTTCTCTCTGTCTTTCCCTCTCTCTTCCACTCTCTCAAAAAAACAATGGAAAAATATCCTCTGGTGAGGATTAAAAAAAAAGAAAAGAAAAGAAAGTCTCTTGTTCGCTCTTTGCTATTAAATTTAAAAATATATTCACATCATTATTTTGAGATGAAATATTTAAATATAACTACTATCAAATTTTAGTAATATCCTATTTATATGACAGTCATAATATGGTGACTTAAACCATCCAGAATGGATTCTCGAACTTGAAAGAGTTATGGACAGTCATCACAAGGTCATGATGAAGGATTATGCCCTAGATCAGTGATGGCGAACCTTTTGAGCTCGGCGTGTCAGCCTTTTGAAAAACCCTAACTTAACTCTGGTGCCGTGTCACATATAGAAATTTTTTGATATTTGCAACCATAGTAAAACAAAGACATATTTTTTATATTTATTTTATATATTTAAATGCCATTTAACAAAGAAAAATCAACCAAAAAAATGAGTTCGCGTGTCATAGGTTCACCATCACTGGCCTAGATCCTCTCCTAGACCCTATGTGTTTGGGAATGCCTATTTTAAAGTATTATGTTTTAACAAGATTGATGATCTGATTCATGTGATAGGCTTCAATTCTTCTAGAAGTTAGAAAGCAGCAGATTAGAAACAAAAAGGTGACAGACCACTAAATGTAGATGCACTTACAAAAGTCAAAATAGGAGCTACTAAAGATAGAAGCATAAAGCCTACACAGGTAATGACTAAAAGCACAGCAGTATGGGGGCAGACAGCCTTCATGATGCAGTGACTTACTCAACTCTTAGTAAGTGTTAGCGCTTGCATAGCTTGCATAGCCCCTTGCTGGTAATAGGGTGATCAAGGGACAAGAAGCATGACGTGTAGTTTGTATCTTCAAGAAGCTTGTAATTTACTTAAAAAGAAAAAGCCAACATATACAACTTAAACAATAATTACGTTGTTTAAAATATAAAGTAATAAGACTAAGAATAAGGATTAATAAAACTGACAGCATCAAATACACTATAGAAGGCAAGAAGAGACATTTTTCGGGGCAGGTTAGAGTAACCAGAAAAGCTTCTGTGATAGAGGCTCCCTTCTTTTGTTATATATTGCATGTTTATTTTTAATGTTGAAAATACTATGTAAAACACAAATGTAAATAAAAGGATTTGGGGGAAGTCCCACTCTAGCCTGGGAAATTTCTGACTGATGACTCATTATAGAAACCTAGAGGAGGGAGATAGGGCTGGTAACCTGAGCTGATTACCCATTCAGTACACTCAGGACTTGATCTCCTCTCTGCTCTGAGCTGAGAGCCGAAAAAGTCCCTAAACAGGAAACAGGAACTTAGTGCATAGCCTAAGAATGGAGCCGGCACTTTGAAGTAGGAAGAGATGTCTAGTTCGCTTCTGGCTAAGTGACCAGTTATGATTTTGAAGTTCAGATAAAAATAGGTTTTGTCATCAAAGCTCTGTGGACATTAGAGCTTATTAATTCATTGATTGAGTCACTGATTCACTCAATAAACCACTACTATGTACCTGCAGGAGATATAGAACACACACACACACACACACACACACTTCATTGATTCACTCAATAAACCACTACTATGTACCTGCAGAAGATATAGAACACACGCACGCGCGCACACACACACACACACACACACACACACACAAATCTCCATTTCCTATAAGAATATTCTATGGGAAGGGGAGAGACAGATAAGTCAATAGCTATAGCAAAACAAAACAAAACAAAAAATACAAACAAAACAACAACACAAAAAAGTGCTAATTGTAATGACAGAAGGATAGAATTGCTATAAGAGCCCTCTCTGCTCTCTCACCTTCATACTAGCATTTTCTGTCCAGGGTACAATTCCTGTCCACCCTTGATCAAACCTATCACCCAGTTAAAATCTACAGTTAGCTCCCCTAACTCTAAGCCTAGATGTCTTTTTTTTAAAAAAAATACGTTTTTACTGATTTCAGAGAGAGGAAAGGAGGGGGAGAAAGAGAGATAGAAACATCAATGATGAGAGAGAATCATTGATTGGCTGCCTCCTGCACGCCCCACACTGGGATCCAGCCCACAACCCGGGCAGGGAATTCCCTATGCCTTACCAGGGAATTGAACTGTGACTTCCTGGTTCATATGTTGACACTCAACCACTGAGCCACACTGGATGTCTTTTTCTTTAGTAACCTTTCCAGAACCCCCAAATCTGGCCCAGTGCTTGTCCAGTGAGCGCCCCTGGCTATGACCACAGGAGGCACTTGTGACACAATATTCTATTTGCCTGCTGACCTGTCCACTCCCTCCCTAGACAGTAAGTGCCACAGGATGAGGATTGTGCTTTTCCCCCTTCAGTACTGTCTCCATGTCTACACCTGTGTCTGGCACTAAGTTGTCCTCAGTAAATACTTGCTTGAAATAACTAACTAATTAATTAATTAAAGATAAAATTCATCACTCAAATATCCTTTCTAATATGCATATAATACATACAAAAGTGTTTATTGTTGTTTTCTCTTGAAATTTTATGAATCACTTGAGTAAGCTTTAGTTATCTGAAAAATTCACCTGTGTGAAAATTCACTCTGTAAACGTGATGGGTAAATTGTGTCAGTGTAGATGAATTATCCATGCTATTAAATATGTAAACAGGTTCTCAAGCAGCTTCCAAGACATTTCTGTAACCCTCAATTAACCAATGGTGATTGGTGAGGACAATATGTAGCAATAGTTAAACCAAATCCATTGAAAACTTCCCAGTGGAACCCTAGCCTCACTCTGCCTTTAATCAATGCTATTACACATTTTTAAAGGTTTTTTTTTTTTGATTTTTCATTTTCCTTTGGCAAATGTGCTTATGAGAAAGAAAATGGTCAGAAGACAATTTAGAAAAAATGAGCATTGGTACTCAAACACAACATAATCATTAAATACCAAGACAAAGCGGCATTGATCTGGAAATTCTGGAGGAATTCAAGAGAACTGCTGACCACAATAACTAAAGTAATTGTTAGCATAAATGACCAAAAGAAAGTTTTGTTGTAAAAGCTACCAAAAGGGATCTTAGTTCAACAATTGCAAAGCTGGTCGAGATTATATTTAAAGCAAAAAAAAAAAATCACAAAAGAACTTACAATGAAAGAAAAAAACGCCAAAGTTGAAAATAACCTATTGTATTCACACAAATGTTTATAGCAGCGTTGTTCATAATAGCCCAAGGTAGCAACAATCCAAATGCCCATCAACTGATGGGTAGATATATAAAAGGTATAGTGATATCACATGAATATAATTTTGCAATAAAAAGGAATGAAATACTAACACATGCTATGAGATGGATGAACCTTGAAAACATTATGCTAAGTGAGAGATCTGATCACAAAATACTACATATGTCATTCCTTTTATATGAAATCTCTAAAATAGGCAAATATATGAAGACACAAAATAGGTTAGTGGTTGCTTAAGGTTAGGGGTACGGGAGGATAGAAGGGTTAACAACTAAAGAGTACGGAATTTCTTTTTAAGATGATTAAAGTGCTCTAAAATTGACTGGTTATGGTTACATGTATCTAAGAATGTAATAAAAACCATTGGACTGCACCCTTTAAATGGGTGAATTGTGGAGCATGTGAATCATATGTCAATAAAGCTGTTTTTATAAATAATCTACTGGAAATATGGTAAAATTTTACTTACCAGGGGAAATAATACCTAATTAATTTTTTAGAATATTTTGCAAAAGCAAATAGGCATATGCAAATAAAGAATAGGTGGTCTACTTTTATGCTTAAGAAGCCACTTGCTATTCTGATACCAAGTCCCAGTGAGATGGGGTGAAGAAGAGTCTATATATCCTGTTCTATGTCTCCTTCAGGTTTGTGCTAGATAAGAAATGGTTTTGAAACACAAAATAAGTACAGTGGAAAAAGTATAAAAAGCAGGATTCTTCTGGGATGGGTGCTAAAACATGCCTTATCATTATTTTTTCAATGATTCGGAGGAGACAACAAGTGATAAAGTTTCCTTGTTTTTATATAACTAAAATCTTTCAAGAAAGAAAAAGACAAATCAATGGAGACAGAATACAGAAATATATTTCAAATCAATTTAAGCGAGAAGAACAGTCACAATTGAATTTAACACAGGCAAATGCCAAGTCATTCATTTAGGGAGATGGACAGATAGATGGATGGATGGATGGACGGATGGAGAGTGACTTGAGCTATTGATGACAATTCATAGCTCATAAAAGAAAATTTTAAGTAATTAAAGATTCTAATATGTTGATTGGAGGAAATTATATGTCTAATTTAATGACAGCATTTTAAAAATCAGGCTTGTCATATAACATTTTAAGAAAGTCAATGGCTTACTAATCTGATATAAAGAAAAAAGGAAAGGAGGAAAGAAGGAAGGAAAGGTGGGAGGGAGGAATGGAGGAAAGAAAGGAAGAAAATTTATAGATTGGTCTTCCAATTGTTGGGTATATGACCCTTCTCCTTTGGATATGGGTATTTATTATTGTGTCAGTCATGATAAATCATTAAAAAGAATATTTCAAGATAGGAAAGTTCTCGTTGTAGATAAGAATTTGAACTCATCAATAAATTATTTAAGAGAGCTCTTTTAGCTGAAATTTGCATCATAAGTTCCATCTTCACTGTTATTTTTTACATTTATATTAATTTAATGTGCTATATGAATCCAAAGAAAAAATAAACCAATTGATATTTACCTCCTGTTTCTGACCTATTGTAGAATGTAATATTTGAGCCACTATCTTCACTCCATTTAACTGGAATATTCCATGTGTAACTAAAGTGATTTAAAAAGAAAAAAATAACTTTTATTACTAAAAAAATGAAAACATACCCAAAGTAAACATAATTTTAAAAGCATCATCTCAGATCACAATGGCATGAAGTTAGAAATCAACTTACAATAAAAAAACAACTCAAAAACACTCAAATACATGGAAGCTAAATAGCATGTTAGTAAACAATGAATGGGTTACCAATGAGATCAAGCAATAAATTAAAAACTTCTTGGGAATTGATGTCAGAGAGGAAGGGAGAGGGAGAGATAGAAACATCAGTGACGAGACAGAATCATTGACTGGCTGCCTCCTGCACACCCCACAGTGGGGATCAAGCCAGCAACCGGGACATGTGCCCTGACTGGGAATTGAACCGTGATCTCCTGCTTCATAGGTCGACACTCAACCACTGAGCCATGGTCAACCACTGAGCCACACTGGTCAGGCTAAACAGCAGTTTAAAATATGTCCAATATAATTTGCTAGAATATAAAACAACTATAAAATAAACAGTTTATAGTTAACAGCACAATCACAGACTTTATTATATTGATTTTTTGTCACTGAATTATCACCTGATAACAAGTCACCTCTATGTTTCAATGCATTCATATATTAAGAGGAAAGGGTAGGGGGAAAAAGAGAAGTTTTTGCCATCATAATTTTTTGCTTTCCAAAATAAACAAAAGATAAAGAAGTATACACAGACACACCCTGACTGATCTCATTTGGTCTAGGAACTCAGATTTTCCTTTGTTTTGGTGAGAACTATTCTTTTTCAAAACTTGGATTACAGTCAGATACCCAGTTTCTCTGAATCCCCTTTACTCTGGCAGAACTGGCTGTCTGAGAGTCCAGGAGGAGAGGTCGGGCATGGGCCTCCACAGGTGAGCACCCCCGCTAATTTAACAATTCTCAGTTTTCTTCCAGGCCTTGGACAGAAAGTACTTTTTTGGCTGTTTGAACATTAGTAAACACCTAGCTGTGCTGTTAGGGTGACTTCATTCCCAAAGCTCTGAACTGGAAGCCAGAAAACAGGTTCTGCTACTCACAGCACGGAGTACCTGGCACAGAGTGGGCCTACAGAGATCTGCATTTCTCTAGAAACATGGCTACGAACAATATTCTAAGAGGAGATTGTCCTTAGCAAGTTCATCCAACTCAATCCCCTGAACATTGTTTATTCTTTACTTAGGAATTTTAGCTCAGCCTAATCTTTGGAACATCAGGGCAGCCAATCATTCCATCGTCTCTCCCATCTCTTTACAGAATTGCCCTCACCACCTCCCTGTCCCACTCTTGCCCCTCTTATCTGTCCTCACAATGCAGCCAGATGGGAACTTTGAAAAATGTAAATGTGATCCGCCACTTCTTCCCTTAAAGTCCTCGAATTTGAGCACTATTGTTCAAAATCTTTAACGTGGTCTGCATGCCAGGCCTCTGCCTTCCTCTCCACCACTTTTCCCAGGGCCTCTCAGCTGCCCAGTTTCTAGGAGCCAGACTACCTGCATTCAGATCAAGGCCCCATCACTTATATGTTATGTAACCTTCCATAAATTATCGAATCATTTTCTGCCCCATTTCCCATGTTATAATAATAAACCATAAAGTATTTAAAATAGTAGCAGCTACTTAGAAAATGCTCAATGAGTGTCGCATATTATAATGCTCCTTTCTAACTCCAGAGCCTTCACACATGTAATAGTTTCTGTTTTGAACATCACCGATAGCCAAACCTCCACACCCATTTACTCAGTTTAAATATCCCTTCCAGAAGAAAGAACGTCCTCTGTAGCCCTCCCTACCCCACCACCCGTCCTGACCCACCCATTAGTTGAGGCTCAGCCTATCAGTGGAAACATATGACAGGGGACAATAATTACTGTGAAACTTTCCAATGGAAGCCTGTTTCAAAAGAGACAAATACTTTTAAAATTTAATATCAAAAGGCTCCAGCAGTATTAAATTTGACCAAGTAATTTGCAAGGACATAAAACAGTAACTATAACGAAAGGAGATTACAGTTATTAAATGAAACACTTTCTGACACAACTTCACACCCTCTAATTCTCCTTCCTCATGTTATCCTAATTGCTACTGAATGATCGATCTGTGGTGACTTATATGTGACTATAAAATAAGGTCAATGAGACTATTCAGAAAGAGATAAAGAGGGTGAAAGGTCTTTTCAGTGGAGATCAGAGGCCACTGGAGTTGGGGTGGATGCAAACTATGTTAAGAAGCTGAAAGAAGGAGTAATGAAAATTAGCATGGGTGACATTGGAACGATATCCAAGGGGCCAGGGCCACACTGTGTTGCTCCCATGTAGCTGGATCCAGTCTAGGAAGAGGCCCAGCTGGGTAACAGGGGTCTGGAGTGATAATGCCAAAGGGTCACACCGGGGGCTGGAGGTCCTGAGGCCCTGAGGTCCTGATTTTCTTCTCTTCAGCTGAGAGTGGTTGACACTCCATAAACATATGTAAGAACAACCATTCAGTTATATGGAAATAGGATAGAGTATTAAGGCTTTTGTACAAGTAGTATTTATGCAAGTGTGAACCAGCAGCCTTTCAGTACATAGGATGATGCCCAACCCACTGGGCCACACCAGCCAGGGCTCAATGCCTCTATTTTTTTAACTCACCCACAAGAGAGGGTGATTTAGTTACTTATATTACTTTTTCTTCTATTCCCCTTTTAGCAGTCAAAATTTAATAAAGTAAAATTATTATTGTTATTAGACTTTTGTAGGTTACAATTGTTCCTGTAAATAATATACTCATTCTGCTATTTTTATTTCATAAATGAGCATTGACACTCTCTCCTAACTGGGAAAGGATATCTTGTGGAATGCTTGCAATTAACTAGCTTGGGGGTGGGGTTGGGGGTGGGTAGGATATAGTATTTGTTGACTTCCATTAATGTGCATTATGTCCAATTATTGCAAGCTACCAGCATGATGTTACTGAGGTAGGACGGGAGCCAGCGCCAGCACATGACTGAATTAGCATCCCACACTTCTTCTACCTTTCTCTCCTTCCCAGTTCCTTTCTTAGGTCAGCAAATATTTTCTGATGACAATGTTGACTATTTATATTTACAATCTACTCTGCCACCATAACAAAATCTCTATATTTGTTATCCATTGGTTGATTGTAAAAATTAAGAGCCAATAAATAACATTTGTGAAATTATACTATAATCATATTGTTAGCCAAGAAGTGTGTTGGAGTTACATTCCCTTCTTTATGGTCTAATTTCATGGTCCCTGAATCATTTAAATAATTCCCCCAACGCCCTAATATAAAGGTCAAGTGGACTCCTTTTTTATTGTGCTTTATCAGTGGCATGAAATTATTTCACCTGCTTCATTTTTTTCAATCACAATTGTTACATATAGCCATTTATCTATCTATCTATCTATCTATCTATCTATCTATCTATCTATCTATCTACCTATCTATATCTATCTATCTATCTATCTATCTATCTATCTATCTATCTATCTATCTATCTATCATCTATCTATCTATCTATCTATCATCTATCTATCTATCTATCTATCTATCTATCTATCTATCTATCATCTATCTATCTATCTATCTATCTATCTATCTATCTATCTATTTATCTAAGTATTTTTCTCTTTGTAGTTGATCTAACTGATGGGCCTTCACCAAGTCCTCAAGTTTTTCCATCTTCCCATTCACTCTTGTTCCTGGAGATCACCTGCCTTACCCGTCACCTGCTCTGACTCTCAACACTGAGCCCCCTGATTCTTGTGGGCCTGTATTTCCTTTCATGGCTTTCCTAGATTGGATGCACTGTGCCCTGGATCCCATCTCTTCCTTTTTTATTGATGTACTAGAGGCCCAGTGCATGAAATTCATGCACTGGAGAGGTGTCCCTCAGCCCAGCCTGCACCCTCTCCAATCTGGGACTCCTCGGGGGCAGTTGGACATCCCACTCACAATCTGGGACCACTGGCTCCTAACCACTTGCCTGCCTGCCTGATTGCTCCTAACTGCTCCCCTGATGGCATGATTGATACCTAACTGCTCCCCTGTGGCCCGATCACCCCCAACTGCCCTCCCCTGCAGGCCTGGTCACCCCAACTGCCCTCCCCTGCCAACCATCTTGTGACAATGTGGGGGCGGCCATCTTGTAATGCCACGGGGGTGGCCATCTTGTGATGCCATGGGGACGGCCATCTTGTGATGATGTGGGGTGTAACCATCTTGTGACAAAGTGGAGGCAGCCATCTTGTGACACCAGGGTGTGAGGGTCAATTTGCATATTGCCTCTTTATTATATAGGATTCATATTTTTTTCTCTCTCCTCCAAGCCCCCTGGAGTGTAGCCTTAGTAACTTTCAAAGAAGTGCTGTGTGGAAAGCACTTTCTGGAAATGTCTTCACTGTGCATTTTTGCATTTGGTTTACTTTCACTGGGTAGAGAATGAAAGGTTGAAAATATGTTTTGCTTCACCATTTTAGATTGCTCCATTTTCTTCTTGCATTCAGGGTTGCTGTGAAAAAGACTAACGCCACACTAACTAATGTATCCTTGTTTTCACATTTTTTTGAAGTTGTAGCTAGGCATGTGTGTACTCAACACAAAAAGGCATGCACTCAATGGGGCCTTTTCATCAAAACCCTGATGTCCTTCATTATTTCTTTGATATAATTTGCCGCTCAAGTTTCTCTGTTTTCTTTTTTGTGAGACTTCTATTAGTTGGGTGCTAGATTTTTCACATCTTCTCTTTCCTATTTGCCAGTTCTATGTGTGTTTGTCTTATATTTTTAGAGAATTCTCCAAATTTATTTCTAGTTGGTCTATAAATTTTCTACAACCAAAAATTTAATCTTCCAGAGACCCTTTGTCTTCTCAGTTTGTCCTTTCAAAGACATTCTGCTCTTAGTTAATGGGTATAATAGTTTCTTTGATCTATTCTGTAAGTTCATTTTCTGTTTCCTCAATTATGTTTCTTATAGAGACAGGTGTTTTATTTGTTCACATAGGATTTTACCTTTTTATGCTTTTAGATTATTTTCTCGTGGTTTTTGAGGCTTAATTGTCCATTCATATTTAAGAAGGGACAAAATTGATTATTCTTGGTGTTTTGTATGTAATCCCTCTACTGTTGAGAAGGGAGTATTATTTTTGAAAGTCTTCTCTACTGAACAAGAAGTCTGGCTGCGAGCTCTGTGGATGAATGAGGGGTGCAGGTAGCTGCACCCATCCATCCTGCAAATGCCATAATGAGGGATGCTTCACACTGGATGTCTCAGCCTAAGGGAAATCCTTAGCTCTTCTCCACTGATTAAGTCCATTTCTTTAGGGGGAAAAAGCCCTCTGGATTTTTGCCTTGGGTCATTGACAGACTTCTGAGAGCTCTGTACAGAGGAAAGGAAGGCAGTAGACAAAGGGAAAGTGGAAGAGAAAGTCTGAGGGTCCAGTGTCCTGAGTTAATTTCAAATCAATTGCCCTGTTTTCAGCCTCACTTGACACTCCTACTCTCCCCCTCCCCCCATTCTTCATGCTTTCATTCTACCTCAAATCTCTTTTTATTGGCTGCATCTTCCTCAGTTTGTTTTTTTGTCAATATTTCTCCTGCTTTTTGTCCTCTAGAATTCTATGCTACATATAACCCCTTCCCTCCATTTTCTTTACTTTTATGAGTTTATTTCTTTCAGCACTTCTATTTCACTGTTCAATAGTTTCTGGGAAGAATAGGATGTAGGTGCATTTTGAACCTGGAGATCACTGAGCTATTTTTAAATGCCTTTGTTTCCCTAAAGACACCATCCTATATAATAAAAGCCTAATATGCTAAATGTCTGGTCATTTGGTTCGCCATTCATCCAATCAAAGTGTAATATGCTAATGATATGCTCAACCGCTCACTATAATGTACACTGACCACCAGGGGTAGACAGTCAACCGATTGGCCAGTTGCTATGACGTGCACTGACCACCAGGTGGCAGATGCTCTGACCGGTACGTTAGCTTGCTGCTGGGGTCCGGCCGATCGGGTCTAAGCGAGATTGGCCGAACACACCCTGGAACGCTCCTGCGGTCCCTTTCTGGCTGACCAACCTCCTGCATTCCTCCCCGGCCCCAATCATGCACCGGTGGGGTCCCTCACCTGGCTTGTCCCCTCTCGCAATCGAGGACCCCTCAGAGGATGTTGGAGAGCTGGTTTCGGCCCTATCCCGAAGGCCAGGCCGAGGGACCCCACTGGTGCATGAATTCGTGCACCGGGCCTCTAGTGCTTTTTATATTATCACCCATCAATCTTGTACCGACGAGCAAGACCTAAGCAAATGACCAATATTTCCATCAACTTTCTGCTTTTCTCTTGAAATGCATTATAGATCCTTACCCAAGCTCTGAATGTGGCAGAGAAGAATTAGCTTTTGGGTCCAATAGAAAGCGTTTCTGTTTGATATTCTTCATATCACTCACATCAAGGACAGGATAACCCATCTGTTTGGTCCAGGTGTCCATCACTTCTTTCACTGGCAGATTACTTGCCTAAGGTTTAAAAAACACGGAGAATAATTAACAAATAAGAAATAAAAGGATAGCCGAACCGGTTTGGCTCAGTGGATAGAACATCGGCCTGGGGACTGAAGGGTCCTGGGTTCGATTCCGGTCAGGGGCATGTGCCTTGGTTGCGGGCACATCCCCAGTGGGGGGCGTGCAGGAGGCAGCTGATCGATCTCTCTCATCGATGTTTCTAACTCTCTGTCCCTCTCCCTTCTTCTCTGTAAAAAATCAATAAAATATATATATTTTTTAAAAAAAGAAATAAAAGGATAAATAATGAGATAAATAAATGGTTAATAAACTATTTATTAATAAAACAAAGAAGTACTTGGGGACATACTCTTCCTTACCTCTTCAAGTGCTGCCCAAAAATCTGAAGTTTTTGCATTCTCAAATTTGTATCTTTTCAAATAAATCTGTATGTGAAAGAAAACAAATACGTTAGGAGTCAATGTTTGCTTTTCTTACATTTCCACAATATGAGCTGAACCCTTAGACACATTTCACTCGGATGTATAATATAGTGTACCTGGAATGAAAATCAAGTGATACACTGTATGAAAAGTATTTTAACCTAAAAAACATTGTACAAACAATAACTTATTTGTAAAGCATAAGAAATTTTTTTTTTTTAATCCTCACCAGTGGATATTTTTTCCATTGATTTTTAGGGAGAGTGAAATAGAGAGGGAAAGAGAGAGAAACATCCATGTGAGAGAAACACATTGATTGGTTGCCTTCTGCATGAGCCCTGACCAGGCTCTGGGCCCGAGGAGGAGACTGCAACCAAGGTTTGACTGGAATCGAACCCAGGACCCTTTGGTCCTGATGCTCTATCCACTGAGCCAAAACGGCTAGGGAGAGAAATATTTTTTCTTATTAATGAGTTTGTTCTTTTTTTTTATCGATTGCAATTGTGAACAAGAGAAATAGTTTCATTTTTTTTCAGGACAAACAATATAAGATAGACAAGGGGAGTGAAGTGTTCAGCAAACAGTCAACAGTTCATAACACTTCTGATCCACTCTGAAGAGAGAGAGCCATAATTCTGTGATCTTTATTTAATGGTGTTAACCTATCCACTGCCTGCTGCATCCCTATCTTCACGTATAGTGGTGTTTTCTCATCTCAGACACTACATGACCCCATCATACACATGGGTGATTGAGGTGATAATCAAACATAAAACAAGTGAGCTTGGCTCTAAGCCAGGGCTCTGCAAACAAAATTATTTCTAAATTTTTAAATGGCTGAAAAATACTTTTGTATAAAAAGCTATATAGTGAGGATTTTAAGCGTTGTGGGCCATAAAATCTCTGTTGCAACTACTCAACTCTACCTCCAAAGCAGAAAAGCAGCCATAAATAACATCTAAGTGAATGAGCTGCTTTCCAATGAAAGCTTATTTATGCACACCGATATTTGAGTGGCACATAATTTTCGTGTCATGAATTAATCTTCTTTAGAATTTTTTCAGCCATTTAAGAATTTAGAAATAATTTTGCCTGCAGACTTTACAAAAATAAGTGGTAGGCCAGATTATGCCCACAGACAATAGTTTGAAATGAATATACAACCTTTTGATTGATGATGATGATGGTGGTGGTGGCGGTGGATAAATCGGGGAAATCATTCACTTTAAAGAATAAGTCTTCAAATATTTTTAAAATACAAAATTTTAATTAGAAGACTTCCCCTTTTGGCAATTCTATTTACAAAATCTCTCCATATATGAGTTTTCAGATATGTGACTTATCCCTAAAGAAATTCCCAGTCTTCCCCTGACCTCATAATTGAGCACTACGGGTGGTTCTCCAGGGCACCTTGCAAAGTTCCCGCTGTATCGCTCCTTTGCCACTCTCTAGGGTTGTCCCATTTAAAATGTGGGGGTCTTTGCCTGGCTGGCCAGCGTGGCTCAGTAATTAAGCATCAACCTATGAACCAGGAAGTCATGGTTCATTCCCAGTCAGGGCACATGTCTGGGTTGTGGGCTCAATCCCAATAAGGGGTGTGCAGGAGGCAGCCGATCAATGATTCTCTCTTAACACTGATGTTTCTCTCTCTTTCTCTCCCTTCTCTCTGAAATAAATAAAAATATATTTTAAAGTGTGGAAGCCTTTGATAAAAACAGAAACTTCTTGCCCTAGCCGATTTGGCTCCATGGATAGAGCGTTGGCCTGCAGATTGAAGATTCTCAGGTTCGATTCCAGACAAGGGCACGTACCTCGGTTGCAGGCTCCAGCTCTGGTTGGGGGCATTCGGCAGGCAACCAATCGATGTGTCTCTCTCACATCGGTGTTTCTGTGTCTCTCCCTCTCCCTTCCACTCTCTCTAAAAGTCAATGAAAAAAATATCCTCAGGTGAGGATTAAAACAAAACAAAACAGAAACTTCTTAAATATTCTCTGAGCCTTCAAAGAAAATAACTAGTGGTTGACTTTGCACATATATTTTTCATTCTAAGTTGTTACAATTTTCAAGAGGTGCTGTACCTAGGTCACATTATCTCCTACATTCCTCTTCTTTTCAGGAATAGAGAGATAGAACAGTGTTAGCAGGCAGAGCTGCTCCCCGAAGCCTGAAAGGGCTGAGGCCAGTTTGGAATGGGGCCTTCACGCTTGCTCTTCTGGCTAGTTCACCGGTCAGCACCGCCACCGGAGGGCAGGCAAAGGCAAGGAGAAGAAATGACAGGCACATACTCCATTGTCAATTTCAGGTATTCATCCCAGAGTTTGCAAAAATCATTTATTTTGGTAAAATAATTGGATACTTGGAATATTAATAATTATAACTATAGATACCTGTTAATGTCAACTTCTAGTGAATAGTAGCTTCTTAAAATTAATTTGGAGGAGTTTATCAGTATTTTCACAATGTCTTAAGCTTAGAAACAAACAATCTTGGAACTGAAAGGGACCTTGAGTATTATTTAATACAACTCCCACATTTGGGGGGGAGGGGTGGCGGTGAAGGAAACTGGTGCTTAAAGAGGTGAACAAATTTGCCTGAGATTATCTTGAAGAGAATTCTGAATCCTGGACCCATTTGTGGGGGTTTTGCCACTATAGTTATTTTTTTTTTATTGATTTGAGAGAAACATCGGTTTGTTGTTCCTCTTATTTATGAGTTCATTGATTGCTTCTTGTAAGGGTCCTGACCAGAGGTTGAACCTTCACCATGGCCTACTAGGACAATATTCTAACTAAGCTACCCAGTCAGGGCTATTTTATTTTTCTAAATTCTATTTCTTGCTTCTACTGAACATTTATGTAAACAGTATATTAAAGGTACTCATTTTAGACATACAGATGGCCTGTAGACATATGAAAAGATGCTCTACTTCACTAATCATCAGAAAAATGCAAATTAAAACCACAATGAGATATCACCCCACACCTGCCAGGATGGCTATCATCAATAAATAAAAAACAACAACAATTATTGGTGAGGATGTGGAGAAAAGGGAACCCTCGTGCACTGTTGGTGGGAATGTAGACTGGTGCAGCCACTATGGAAAACAGTATGGAGGTTCCTCAAAAAATTAAAAATGGAACTACCTTATAACTCAGCAATTCCACTTCTGGGTATATATCTGAAGAAACCCAAAACTAATTAGAAAGGATATATGCACTTCTATGTTCATTGCAGAATTATTTACAATAGCCAAAATATAGAAGCAACCCAAATGTCCATCGATAGGTGAATGAACAAAAAAGCTGTGGTACATATATACAATGGAATATTACTCGGCCATAAAAAATAAACTGTTACCATTTGTGACAGTATGAATGGACCTAGAGGGCATTATGCTAAGTAAAATAAGTCAGTCAGAGAAAGACAAATACCATATGATCTCACTTCTATGTCAATTCTAAAGAACAAAATACATGAACAAACAAAGTTGAAACAGACTCATTCATTTAAGAAACATTTTTGGGATCTCCTACCGTATGATGTGTTCTAGGCACTGGAGTCTATGCAAAGATACAATGGCAGAGTTCCTCACTAAAGGTGCTTACAGCGAGAGAAGATATGAACTCTGAGTTTGAAGCTGGTGGGAAACTTACACAATGTTCTAATGCACATATAAGAACAAGCAGGTAGCTTCCCCTTACCACCTAATGTCCATACAGAACACTTTATTATGGGCAAACAGAGAAAGAGGTACTTGGGTACTGACTGAATACATCCTAAATGCTGCTCTTACTTCTTGCTTTCATAGTCACCTGGGAACTTTAATATTGGGTTGAAAGGGACCATCTCCTTTCGGGGCAGTTGAGAAAACACTCATGCCACACAAGCAGACATGGTGGTAGTGAGGGTTACAGGCAGGGTGGACAGGCACTGCCCTGGGAAGTCACTGCACGGTGCTCTGCAGGAAGGTTAGCGGGGCCGCTGCTCTGACCTGTGTCCTGCTTTATGGGCTGGGTGCCAATCAGCGCTGCTCTGCCTAACTGCCTGGGATGTCAGAGCAGGGAGGATGGAGATGGAAGGCCAACACCAGGAAGATGGTCCATCTCCAGGCTGCAGTGGGGCCAACCTGAGACAGGATGAGGGACACAGTGCCGCTACTTTGATTATCTAAGACCCCGAGAGAACTGGCTTAGAGTCTGCCGGGAGAACAAAATAAAATGGAAACATCTAATGGGAGGAATAAGCTGGAGTGGGATACGTGAAATGCTCTAGAAAGTTTATTGTCATTTCCATTTCCAAAAAGGAGCAGGCCTTTTTTATTCACTGACTCCACCATAATAGGAATGTTTACATTAACCATTTTCAAATCCAGTCATAAGGAAAGAGTCTTTCTAAAATCTGTAAGAGAAGACTTTAATAGATAAGTTTATATTTTTATATCATGTTGCTACAGACTAAATCATCTTCCCCAGACATTCACACATTGAAGCCCTAATCCCCAATGCCAACATTTGGAGATGAAGCCTTGGGGAGGTAGTTAGGTTTAGATGGGAAGTGTCCTTCTTCATCTCCCACTCCTGAGCCTCCAGAATTGTGAGAAAATAAGTGTCTGTTGTTTAAGCTACTCAGTGTGCCCAGCAGACTCATTCACATGTAAAGGATACACACACACACACACACACACACACACACACACACACACACACAAAACAGACTAAGTAATTTGTTTAAAATACTCTATGAAACTTGCCACAGGATAATTATTGATACAATGTACAGTAGGCACTTAAGTGGATATGAATCAGTTCTTAATGTTTTGCTATGTTGCCTATCCCTGAGTAAAGAAAGTTACAGTAAAAAGGGAATTTCCCTTAATTAATTACATTTCTTAACATTCATCAGCCACATAGTATAGTTTGCTTTTAATATCATTAAAAATAATAAATCATACCTGACATCCTTTTTGAAAGTTCGCTGGTGTTATCCAGTCTTCAATCATTCTCAGAATGGAAGCTCCCTATAATGGAAAAGAATGAGAAATTAAACTGATAAAAGATATGTAAGGGACAAATATCAGTAATTATTATTGTGACTATAATTTCATGATCATATTTGTGAGATTTCTTGAAGATGATTCTGCTAAATTACTAATTATAGCTTTGTTACTTTAGGGTGAAAATACCACTCTGCACACCCCTGTTTCGGTGCTTCTGAAATAGCCTATGGATAAAGAGAAATCGAAATAGATAAAATAGCCAGCATTTCAGTGGCTTGAGGCTCAAGTAACTATTGCAGTTCACAAAATGAACCAGCAGAGGGGGACTTTTTAATGAAAGAGAAGAAGAGAACATCTTGTAATACTGTGTTCTTTCACGAATAAGGAAAGCAGTTTCAGGATACAATTTTGGCTACTTATAATTTATATTAAAATACTTGAAAAAGAATTATATTTAACAGAGGGAAGTAGATATTTGATAAATTATCTGCATTCAGGTATGAATATGTTTAGAGGAGAAGCTGTAGGACATATTGAGGAAGAAAATGAGTAACAAAACTTTAGGTCACTATAGATTTTTCAGCCACTTTTCATAAAATTATAATGGATAAAACTGCCTTTTTGCAACATGTTAACAAATTCATCATTAAATCTTACCTAAAAATGAATAAAGGTAATTCCTCCAAACTGAGTTGGATTTAAATACTTATTAGAAGCACCAAAAGAGTCTGCTAGAAAAGGTGTCCACATGTATGGCATTTCTTATTGACCACATGAGCAAAAAAAGATTTACTGCCTTTAAAAAAAACAAAACAACAACCCTGACTGATGTTTCCCAGTGGTTAGAGCATCCGCCCTCACACAGAAGGATCTCAGGTTCAATTCCTGGGCAAGGACATATCCGGGTTGCAGGTTCGATCCCAGCCCCAGTCGAGGCGTGTTAGGGAGGCAACCATCAATGTGTCTCTCTCACATTGATGATCCATGTTTCCTCTCTCTCTCTCCCCCCTCCCTTCCACTCTTCTATATTCCCCCCCACACTCCCTCCCACTCTCTCTCTAAAAATACAAAAACAAAAAAACAAAATAAAAATCAAATAAAGCAATTTAAAATTTGTTGCCTAAAGTTTAAATGTTCAATTATCAGAGTGAGTCTTGTTATACACAAAAGTACAAAAGAGAATTTTTTAAAAATCTGATTCAAAATCCTGAGACATTGATCACATTGATCAGTTTCACTGAAGAGGACAAGCTTTTGAATATTCACTCAGAATAAGTTCTGCACTGTTTCTAAAGCCTATTAACATAGTTTAACCACATGACCACCATTTTGTGGATTTACTAAAAGAAAAGGCACCAAGCAGGAAGATACTAAAAACAATGCCATAGTTTCCCCACCTTGCTGTAGGATATTCCATCAAAAGCAGATGTTATTTCAGCAGGATTTGACACGGTGACAACAATGGGGTGTGAAGACATCAAAGAATCATCCTCTTGTACAGGTAGTACATCTTCAAGTAACATCTGGTCCCGCTAAAATGACAGAATGAACCAGAGAAATATAGTACTTCCTTTACACTGGTTCAGATTTCAACATAACATGTATATAACACAAATTGAGGGAAATAAATATAAATTATTACAATTATTTAAAACAAGCATTCAGTGTTCAAATCAATCCCATCTTACACTAATCATCTATACTGATTCCATTACCTTCTCCTATTTATAACTCCTTTGACTTTGCCTCCATATTACAGGCCAAGAAGACACAAGCGTCTGTGGATGCTGCCTCTGTTACCTCTGTGTGATTTCAGACGTGTGCCAGACTTTTGAACCCCTGTTTTCCATATCTGTGCAGTGGGAATGATGATATCATCTCCTCCCAGATTTGTTCTGAGAATTGAGGAAGCATGTTGATTTATCAAAAATTGATGTTTGAGTTCTTTAAAAAAAATTTTTTTGTCAACTAATCATTGGAACTTGGGTGATATATAATTAATTGAAGAAAACATTTACTTTTGCTTTAGTTCAATTAATAATCATCTTCTCATTCCAGTCCTGTTTTCTCACCAAAATAAAGTTGTTAAGCGCTCTAGCCCCATAGTCTTTCTTGGTTCAAAGCTAATCTTTCTAATTCCTCGATGTGTAAGTTCAAACAAGTTCCCTTACCTGCTAAATAGGGTAATGATGGCATCTACTTTTTAGAATTGCGCAGCTGATTCAATGAGCTAATGCATGGTAAGCAATTGGCAGAGCACCTGGCATAAAGGGAAAACCTAACGCAGCTATTATTATTTTGATTCTTAATCAATTAGGTTCTAAAACCTAACTTGTTAAATCACTACTAATAAAAAAAATCAAAAGCTTTATTGGTCTTCCTGAATTAAAACTATTAGTTTATATTTTCAGATTTTATGATTTCCTTTTATAATAGGCAAGGTACTATTGTCAATCAAGGTAAACTGTGAGGCATGAAGAGAATAAAGTTTTCAAATGAGGATTTAGACGTACAGAGCTTCCAAATACACAGAAATATATTTATACCTAAAGTTATAGAATATTAGAGTGATGACTGCCAATCAAGATAATTTTGACTTGGACTTCAATTTTTTCTGCTCCTGTACAGTCTTTAGGTAAGTAGACAGAATCCTGTTCTCAGTGTCAGGAAATTTTACTCTAGTCTTAGTTGTGCTACCAATTGTCTGTGTGACAGTGGAATGTTATATACCCTGAGCATCACATTTTCACCTGCGAAATGAGGCTCCATGACTGTGGTACTTAGCAAGCTCTCTTATGATGCATCTTTATTTATCTGCCCTTTTTTCCACCCACAAGACACCAATTTGGGAACTTCTTAATGGCAGATATTACTATTCAGTTTTAGGTGCTTTATAGTGTTTACTGAATGAGAAATGAATGAATGAATGAAGAATAACTGAGTTCAATTGTGTGATTAGATTTTACTTAAGAATTGCATACTAAATTCTTCTGGAATTTAATTGGTGTTTTTAAAACACTGAAATTGGAATGTGAAAATATAATGGATTATATATAACAATATTAAAATGTTATAATTTATATCTTGCTGTAAGAAGGACATCAGTTTATTTTATAGAAAAGACATTTTTTCATTTATATAGTTTAATTTCAATAAATTATGAATCAGCAATTTTCAGCATAGATGGGTAGTTCTCAACTAGGAGATTATATTTTTGTCCCCAGGGGACATGTAGAAATATGGGAAGACATTTTTGGTTTTACAACTGGAATGGAAGGATAACTGGCATCTAGTAGATATAGTAGACATAAGCCCAAGACGTTGCTAAATATTCTACAAGACACAGAACAGCCCACAATCAAGAATTATTTGATCCAAAATGTCAATAGTTTCATGGGTAAAAAATTTGATGTATATTAAATTTGTAAAGAAACAATTGTTACAAATTGACTTTTTCATTTTTTAAAGTAGATTGTGGAAACTGTAGGGCTTCAAGCATTTAACATTGTCTTTTTATTCTGTCCACTAGAGGGCAGTAGTCTATACAGTACACAACTGTGATTCTCTAATTTCACACATCTACACACACTTTCATATATATAAACAGATAAGAATACTCTCGCTATCTAAATATAAATACAAACAGACCTAGCTTTTTGGAAAGACATGTCTGTAGAGTTCATAGAAGCCTCTGTTCCAGGCCCCTCAAGGACACACAGTGTGATAATAGTAATTCCATGTGCATTTTGGGAACTTATAAGACAGAGAACAATGTTTTTTCATAGAGGATGGAACTGACTCAGAGAGGATATGTAACTTGCTCAATGTCACATTCCCTGTGAAGCCCCTAAGAAACGAAGCATCTAGGATTTGAACTTGAGTTGAACTAGTAAGTTTATGCTCTCATCTCTTTACCGCACTATTTCAGCAACCTGTGTAAGGTAAGTCATTCACAAACTTAGGCTTAGACATTTTTCAGAGGGTTAGCACTACAGACACTTTCTTGCACAGAGTTGGCACTGTCGAAGCTATTTTTTTCCTGCCCTGACACATGTTCTTGAGTGACTCTACTGAGGACATCCCCAGATCCTGGTGGCCAGTTGCCCTCTAGGGCCTGGGCCTAGGCTCTAAGTGAGGTCCAGTGCAGTAGAGCCAGCTGGCTCCACCCCATTCTCACAGTGGAATTCCCGATTCACCACTTCCCTTGGCCCCAGACTCCGGGTCATAGTCCAAATGCTTCAATCTGCTTTGCATGAGAAAAACGGAGACTTGGAGCTTGTATGCTTAGGACTCACCATCTGCCAGTCTCCCTCTGCATGGTTTACTCCCAGGAACTCAAAGAAGGAAGCGAAGCCTTCATTCAGCCACAAGTCTTCCCACCAATCCATGGTCACAGTATTTCCAAACCACTGAAATGATAAGCAATGGAGTCATAGTTAGATTCTTGTGCCTTTGGTAGAAAACTTCAGTACATTCATTTGTTCATGTAAATTTTATCATTTGACACAGAAGTGGCAGGCGTTCTTAGCCTTTATCTCCTGGCTTTAAAATGATCTAAATTTTCCTTCGTTTCTTGCCTTTAGTTAGGCATTACTGGGAATATTTAAAGTTATAGGAAGTGCATTTACTAAAGGCAAGATAATGTGTCTTAAAAGTCTCAACAATAAAGAATTAAATTAAAAATAAAATAAATAAATAAAAGAAAAAAGTTTATAGTACAACATTTATCGGCACTAAGAAAGACTTTCAAGCAGGATTTTTTGAGTTGGCTACTTTTAATTGGCTAAATTATTTCAATTCCAAAATGAGCTAATTTGAGGCTAAGATTCTATACCTGATGCACAAGTTCATGGGCAACCACAGTGGCAACCCTCTGCTTGTTGGACGAGGCTGATTCCAGGGGGTCATACAGCAGGTTGGTTTCCCGGTACGTGATGAGTCCCCAGTTCTCCATGGCCCCAGTGCCAAAGTCTGGAATAGCAATCTTATCTACGGAAAAAGAAAGAGTCCAGTGAGAAATACGTTCTTTCCATTTGTTCATAAAATTAACAACGTACGTTCTTTGGGTGAATGTATTTTAAAAAATCTAAAAATAACTCTTCAGTCTTCATGCACTCAAAATTTCCATGGCCCTTTTCCTGTTGGCTCAAGATATCAATGTGTCATGTGTTTTAATAGCAATTTTACTAATTACACATTTTTACTAATGGCAATGCTCTTTTCAAGACCTCTGTAATTTTGTGTCTTTTGTTCCTCTCTGTACTTCATTTTAATTAGCTTTTTAAATAATTTTCACTTAGATAACACAGAGTATCTGTTTTGGGGATAAGCTGTGAAAAATTAAGAAAGAGAATGACGTTTTCAAATGAGGACTTAGAAGCACAGAGCTTCCAAGTGCACAAAAATATATTTCTATCTAAGGTTACGCAATATTAGAAAATAGAAATTCTACTTTTTCCCTAACTCTGTGTAATTTGAGGTCAACCTGACTCCCTAAGAATTGAGTAACTTACCATCTGGTTGTATGTATTAAAGTAGCTGGATCAAGATGGAATTGATGCCCTAGCTGGTTTGGCTCAGTGGGTAGAATGTCAGCCTGCAGACTGAAGGGTCCCAGGTTTGATTCTGGTCAAGGGCACATGCCTGGGTTGCGGGTTCCATCCCCAGTAAGGGGTGTGCAGGAGGCAGCCGATCAATGATTCTCTCTCATCATTGATGTTTCTCTTTCTCTCTTCCTCTCCCTTCCTCTCTGAAACCAATAAAAATACATTTAAAAAAGAAAAGATGGAATTGACTACATTCTCTCTAAATTTCCTTCCAGGTCTAAAATGTTGAATTTTATCACAACTTCCTATTCCTTATTTTTGCTGGGGCTTATAATCTTAGACATACTATCTGACCAGAAGATGTGTTGATCAGTTCTATGTTAAATCGTAAAACAGAAACTATTTAGCTTGATTACTGGACAAATTACAGTCCAGTTAGTGAACTATAATAAAAATCTAATTTCTTTATCATTACATAGAATTTAAATGAGGCACATAAATGAAAAATTAAAATTCCATCTAACATATAAGAAAGGCCTTTTCTGGTTAAAATAAAGATTCTTAAAGCTTTTTATAAAAGAATGAAAATAGATCTTAAGTGGAGGTCAAGATTATGGCTATAGTTTCCTTTTCATGTTATCTTCATTCTTATGTTTGGTTTTTGTTTGTTTATTTGTTTTTTTCACAAGAATACCACTTAAAAGGTAGAGAAGTATTCCCCACAAGGGCCAATATTTTTCATAGTATTATGAAGAATAATTTAATTTGGGAGGGGGGAACTAATAAACACAGAAGTCATTTCTAAGGACAGTCTAAGATGGAGTCAATACTGAAAAAGTTGGGAACAAAACTGAAAGAGTTGAAATGCTTGTAGAAATATGGAGGAGGAGGAAGAGGAGGATGAAGACAAGGAAGAAGAGAAGTTGTAGTGTAAGTTGTAGTAGTAATTGCTACAGTAGTAGTTCTTATAGTAGTTTTAGTAGTAGTACAGTAGTAAGAATAATTGCAGTAGTAGTAGTTGTTGCAGTTGTAGTAGAAGAAGCAGTAGTGGTGGTGGTAGTCATACTGGTTGTGGTAGTAATAGTAATTGTAGCAGTTGCAGTAGTAGAAGTAGAAGTAGTAATAGTAGTGACTGTAGTAGTGGCTGTAGTAGTATAGTGGCAACAGTATTTGTGGAGAGGAAGGAATAAAGCAAAGAGAACAGAGAAATAAATATGTGAGATTTCCACTTCCTAGGATTTCTTGGGTGGTACAAGTGAGATAAAGAGAAAAAAAAAGACCTTTAAATTGATGTGCGGAACATTTTATTAAACATTCTGATTTTGATGAAAAGTTGTTTCTCTGCCTGTCTCCTCTATTGATAATAGTTTCTAAGCAATCAAAAAAGAAACTGGATCTACCGCCATTGAAGAGAAAATCTACACACTTGCTTAGAGCCACAGCCATTCCCATGTAGAAAATTTGGCATTCCTGCTGCTTTGCATCAAGAATTATATCAGACATGGATATGGGTGTCCCATTTAAAGTCTTTGCTAATACCATTGAGGTTACAATAAAGAATTTCTGCTATTGATAGAAGTATCATATCAGTACCATTTTGATATAGCTCTTTTTTTAAAAAATAAAACTGCTCCATCAGAAAAAAATATTTATTGAAGGAACACCATTGTTTTATTTTAACTGCTGAAGGATCTAGAATTAGTCCTGTGTAACCATAGAAAGACTAGATGCACATAGGACCTCAACAGAATTATTTATTCTTATTTCCCAACTCATTGATGGTAAGGAGGCAGTATAAGCTATTAGGATGGGTACTAATTTTGAAATCAATTGATCTAGGTTGCTATTTCTGGTTATTTCATTATCAACATCTGTAGTTTTGTGCAGTGAAATACTTTAATTTTTATTTGGAGACAAAAGACTATATATTTATCAGGTGAGATCAGAGTATAGACATTCTTGGAGGAATCCAGAATGGATCCTTCCACATCTACTAAGTATTAGACACATACTGTGGGCACACAACAAAAAAATTAAGGGACGGGTATTAACTAAGTATGATAAAAGCTGGAGGAAGTGAATTAACTTAGGTGAAAACAAAAGCAATATTAAAAATGTATATATATAAAAAGCCAGGGTTCGTAATGTCCAAAACGACCGAAGGAATGACCGAACGCCAGGCTGTGTGCACAGCAGGCTCGGGTG